CACACACACACACACACACACAACACATTAAAAAAAAAATTCGATACCTTTGAGTAAGATCTTATGATTCCTTTCGCGCTTACATTCATTAATATGAAATAGCAATTGTAATCGTGCTCATACTTACAGCAACCATCACCAAAGTGTCCATGTTTGGTTTCCCTGCTGTTAGATCAGAGGGAAGACTGAGGTCGCCGCAGAAAGTGCCAAGGGTTCGTCGATTTTTTCCAAAGTCTTGCTAACGTCTTCAACTTAGACAACGTTTAAACAAGGGCTGAGGCATCTAGATCTATATCATGGAGCTTACGGTGAGCGAGAATCGCCTGCAAAAATGAAACATATTGAAACATGGAGCTTTTTTGTGAGAAATAAGCTGGCACCATAGATTTACATTTCTAATAATATCATAGGTCATATTCTCTGGCGTTATTCGTGTTCACTCTGGAGCTTTTCATAATATGACTCAATTTGTAGCTGAATGAACTGAAAGGATGGAAGGTGCCTCCCGCTCTCCACTCTGGCGAGACTGGTGTATTTGCATTTCATTTGGGTGCCTATGGTGTGCAAGCTTTGCAAAGAAGTTTTAGTAGTGAACGAATAGTGGTGGCCATGACAGTGTACAGTCTAGGACACCATGATTCAAATCTATGGCTTGTTGAATACCATGTTCATGTGGTGTCGGTAGTCAAGTGGTCAGGCTACCGGACTCATAATCATGGGATTGCGGGTTCTGGGATCCGAGCCTCAGGCTCGACTTTGTTTCCGCAGGAAAGGCAATTTACTCGAATTTGTCTCACTTTACCCAGGTGGGAATGGGTACCCAGTCCTACACAGTGAAAGATCTTGTCAAGTTGCAGTGTGTATGCTACCCGGGAAATTGAGAACTTTTCAGAATGCTATCATCAGGTTTGCTGTGGTAATAATATAGGTTATAGAGCGCATTGAGCTTGCTGTTGAACTAGATTTGGGCTACATAAATGTCATCTATTATAATTGACATGTACTTGATGTGTCAAAACCAATAAAACGTCATAGTTTTCCTATCTGACCTCCTCGGAGTAGGAACATGAGTTGTGAATGTGCTTTTGGCTATCATCATCATCCAGTGCCAGATCTGCGACAGACATCCGCGATCATGGTTTTCCATTCATTCCTTTGCTCGGATGCTCTCCAAAAAGCTACGTTTCCCT